CTCCGGACGTGCAGGCCCAGCGGCCATGGCTCACGGGCCCAGCCGCTCCGCGGCACGTGGGATCCTCCCAGACTGGGGCACAAACCTGTGTCCTCTGCATTGGCAGGCGGACTCTCAACCACTGTGCCATCAGGGAAGCCCTATTTGGGATTTTTATATCCATATTCACAAAGGAGTTTGGGCTAGCCTCGTAAAATGAGGTGAATAGCTTTTCTATGCAGCAATGTGTAATGTTTGGTAAAATTTACTGTTAAAACTATTTAGGGGGAGGTGTCTTAAAAACGATTTTCTTGTGGTAAAACAGTCATAACCTAAACTTTACCATTTAAGCCATTTTAAGTGTACAATTCAGTGGCATTAAGTACATTCACAATGCTGTGCAACCATGACCGCTCCTCATTTCCAGCACTTTCTCATAATCCCAAACACGATCTCTGTACCCATTAAACAATAACTCCCCATTCCCACCCCCCCCACCTTAGACGTGATTAACCTGTATTATAATTTCTCTATGAATTTGCCTATTCTAAGTAACTCATAAAAGTGGAATCATACAGTACCTGTCCTTTTGTGATTGGCTTATTTCACTTTAACAATGTTTTCAAGGTTCGTTAATGTTGCAGGTTTAAGAATAGCTTTCCTTTCTAGGGCTGGATAGTATGCTACTGTATGTATGTATCACATTTTGTTGTCCATTCATCTGTTAATGGACACTTGCTTGCTTCTACCTCTTAGCTGTTGTGAACGATACTGCTGTAAACATGGGTGTGTAAATATTTGAGTCCCTGCTTTCAAATCTTTGGATATGTATCTAGAATTGGAATTACTAGGTCATATGGTAGTTTTTGTTTTTTTTTAAAATTTTTTGAGGAACTGCCATTTTACATTCCTGCCAAGAGTACACGAGGTTCCACTCTCTCCACGGTTTGTTTTGATAATAGCTGTGGTTTTGATATGCATTTCTCTAATGATTAGTGATGCCGAACATCTTTTCATGTGCTAACGTCGACACTGGAGAAAGGTCTAATCAATTCCTTTGCCCATTTTTTACTCAGGTTTTTTTTGTGTTGAGTTGTTAAGAGTTCTTTATAGTTTTCAGATATTAACCACTATTATTTCCAAGTAGCTTTTAAGAGCGGTGGTCACCTTTTTTCTTGCATGTGTCCAAGTCACTCGAGACAGACGGGCGAGTCAGTCCTTCAGGTCTCCCAGGTAGATGAGAGCAAATAAGGTCTCTGTTCAGGGAGGGGAACTGGGAAACCAAGACCGTCGGGGTGAGTAAATGGCACAGGACGCTCCTACTGTTGTAAACATGGCTTTGCTTGGTTGGGCGTTTGCCTGGTGGCCGTAAACCTTTGATTTTTTCCCAGAGCTCCTGAAAAGTTGGTTCCGACGGCTTCTGCTTGTTTTTTTCCACGTTTCTGGGGGGGAGACCAGGGCTTGGAGCTTCCCAATCTGCCATCTTGAAGCCTCCCAATCTGCCATCTTGCTGACGTCACTGCAGGCGACTTTCATGTTGGGCGGTGAGAGGCATACTTCAGATTACAATTCATTTTTTTTTTTTAATGGTTGAAACTGTTTAGATCTTCTATTTCTTCAATCGATTTTGGTAATATTTTTCTAGAAATTATCCATCTTGCCTAATTTTAAATTTACTGGCATAAAGTTATTCATCATGAGCTCACGATTTTTAGCTATCCTTACGGTATCTGTGGTTGTAGCCCCAATTTCATTCTTAGTTTTGTTCGTTGGACTCTTTTCTTTTTCACTATTTCTAGAATTTTGACTTTAAGTTTTCCTCTCCCCCCCACCCAAAGAACTTTTTCTCTTCAGATTCTTTTCTTTGCTTCAATTTCGTTAATGTTTGATACTATCTTTATTCTTTCTCCTACATCCCTCTGTATTAATTTCTTGCTACATATTCATCTTCAAGCACCACAGTTTAAGAAAAATTGATTCAAAAAGTAAAACGAGATAATTTAATCCGATGACTTTTCCCTCTTCCTGCAAATTGGGGAAAGCTTCTCGTGCCTGTGCTTTGACGTGGACACGCTGAGCTCAGCCCACCTTGTGGGGTGTCGGGGTCTGTCCCGCGCAGTTTGAGAACCACTGCGGTGGTGGGTGCACGACTGAGGAGAAGGTGCGGTGACCGAGCAGCACGAGATCTGACTCTTTACAAACGCAGGCTCTCGGCTGGGAGGTGGGCGACCAGGAACTCTGGGTCTGCAATTCACCACGTGGCTCTGGCCCAGGAATTCAGATCCCTCACTTTCCTCATCTCCAAAAGGAGTAGTTTCCTGTCGACCGTCTCAGAATTCATTTCGAGCAGCTTCACTCTGATAGGGCTGCCATCACCGAACACTGCCCATCGTGTGGCTTGAACGACAGACGTTATTTTCTCACGGTCGTCAGCCGGGTGGGTTTCTCCCGAGGCCTCGCTCCTTCTCTGTCCTCACGAGGTCTTTCCTCTGTGCGCACATCCCTAGTGGCTCTTCCCCTTATAAGGTCACCGGTCCACATAGATCAGGGCCACACTTATGACCTCATTCCACTTTAGTCACCTCTTTAAAGGCCTTTAAAGGCCATACACAGTCGCAGCCTAAGGTGTGGGATTTAGGACTTCAGCACAGGACTCTGTGGGGACCAGCTCAGTCCACAGCACGAGCTCCATCACTTAGGCAGTTAGTGATGAACACCGTAAACCTAACATGCAACAACAGCGCAAACCTGGAACACAGACGAGATGCTCCTAGGATCCCTGACGGTGTCTCCGTGATCAGGAAACCCTAGGGCCTGGGGCTGTAACAAACGCCCTGTTGAGAGCGCGTGGGTCTGAGCCAGTCTCGTGTCAGCCCTCAGTGGAGGCGGCCATCCTGCCAGTGTGCACGAGGCCCACGCGCTATCAGCGATTTTTCCCTGAGAACACTGACATGGGGAGACATTCAAATCCAATGCTTTTTTATAAGTTAAAAGGAAGTCATGCCGTGGCAAGACTTCTTTTTTTTTTTGGCAAGGCTGTTGAGACTATTACAGTATGTTCCCGCAATAGTATAAAATGTATGTTTTATCACTTGAATGTAGCCCAGACAATAAAAGGGCGCCCGAGACTGGAAACGTGCCTATGAGAAAGGCCAAACCAACCTGCAGTGATAAGATCAGTGGGGATAAAAAGAGTGAAAAATGGTTACAGCTCAGGCTGCTGACCTGCGATGGATGCCCACGGGCCCCTCCACGCCAGCAGGTACCTCAGACCCCAGGGTCTTCGTCTCTTAATGTGTAAGATGGGAACTATACTCTGTGGGCGTGCGGGGGAAACCAAAGTACTGGAAAGTGCTTCAAAATATAATACGTCTTACCAACATCAGGTAAAGGTGACATTTTGCTTCCTGGTGCCGGAAATCTGACTTTTGTTTTCCCGTTTATTTTCATACATATTCAAGCGCTGCAAGTGTGGTCTTTCTTAAAAATCCCCATTCCTCCTCCTGGGTGAATGATTCATCAAGAATCTTGGCCTAAGTATGCTGCTGTTTCAGGGAAAACAGTCTCTGGGGAATAACTTGGGAACACAATCGGGACTGGTCCAGTGGCTTCGTTAGAAGGCAGCTCGGTGTGTGTGAGCTTCTGCTCGGAGCCAGTGAGTAAGATGTGGCTTAAGTTTCACGTGTGGAGCCCTAGGGGGAGACTTCTTAAGTTCACACCGTTCTAGGCCAGCAACACCAGGCGGTAGAATGATCATTTCACAGTTTTTAAAAAAAATATTCAAAAACATTGGGTCATTGTTTTTAAGATACAGTGAAGGGATAAAAATTTTATCGGACAGATTACAGTGCTAGGATGTCAGAGGTCCTGGGGAAAGTGTCCACATCTGCCCTGCCAAGGGGGAGTTTCTAATGGCCAAAAAAGTCTCTTCCTTGTCTATCCCCTATGACTCTATTAGGTCTGCAGAAACAAAGACCCCATAAAATATAGGAATAAGTGTAAAGGTACTAAAAAATCCTAGAACCTTTATTTTGGAAGGTAAATTACAAATCTGAAAGTGGGCACACCAAGTACGTTCAAGATTTTAAAAACAGTTTGAATAAAATAATGAGCTCTCAGGGATTCGACCCCACACGGCACCTGATATTCTAGTTGGAACAACTCTAGTTGATAAATTCTGAGTACTGCTTTTCATAAGTTATCACAAAATGACTTTTAAACTGGTGCTTTAGCATGGTTTTAATTTAATTTAAAAGTGGTTTTATTGCTAATTTTAATTTCACATTTTGACAATAAAATATTCTCTGGAAGTGTCTGTACTGAAAGCTAATGGGACGGATAAAAATCTCCGAGAGAGACAATGCTGCTTTGGCAAAAGGTCAGGAACGATTTTTTACGTGTCAGTGGGTCCCGCTGCCCAGCGGTCCTGGACACTGCCCCCTGCAGATGAGAGAGATTTTGCACCCCCGTGTTGTCTCCTCGTATCATCGTGTTTACTACTCTGTCTCGTACACGAGGTAAGTAAAATTAGGTCCAGAGAGACCCAGGTGACTTGCGTCTGGTCAGAGAATAAGCTAGTGGCAGAAAAGGTGATGCCCTAGATTGTGTGTTTTGTAGGTCTGTGCATATGTGTAGAGATGGAAAAATGATATCTCCTTCATCTGCACAAAGCTGGAGCTATTTTATCGTAACTCCATTCAGGAAGAGATGCATATAAACTAACAGAACATGTATTTTTCAAGTATTTAACATTCACACGACAAGGCTGGGGAGGACCCAGTGCAGACGGGGCCGCGGGACTGATGTCATAGGTGAGGACTTCACCATGCCGAGAGCCGAAGATTCCATGACACACGGTTACCTGGGAGTTGCCAAGGGCACACGTAGATGGTGTGATCAATGAGAAATCAGAGACAGGACATGAATTATGGGAGAGGAAAGAAACAAAAACCTAGGTCTGCAGTTCCAGCTCTGAGACTCAAAGAACTCCAAAGGGCCCTGTGGAAATTACACCCTGGGCTTCAAGCAGGTAGACATTCGCCTCCTGAAAACCCACCATCAGGGGGGTCAAGTGGCCAAACCCCAGAAGGAAACAGGCAGACAGCTGACTTGTGCACAATCCATGCACAGAAGTGCACCAGGGCCAGGAAGGGGCCGGCTGAGTTCCCCAACCTGGAAATAATAAGAGTGCAGACATAGGCTTCGGCCCTCTGCACCGTGCACGATTGCAGACTTTGGAAAGACTAGTTGTTGATGTGGGCTGTTGATATCAATCATGTGCACAGTTCTGTTAGCTGAATGAGGCTCCTTATTTTTTTTTTTTCGGTACGCGGGCCTCTCACTGCTGTAGCCTCTCCTGTTGCGGAGCACAGGCTCCGGACGCGCAGGCTCAGCGGCCACGGCTCACAGGCCCAGCCGCTCCGCGGCACGTGGGATCTTCCCAGACCGGGGCACGAACCCGTGGCCCCTGCATCGGCAGGCGGACTCTCAACCACTGCGCCGCCAGGGAAGCCTGAGGCTCCTTTTTCTTTTTTTAGGTGTGCAGTGATACCTCATTGTACTTTTATTTTTATTTATTTATTTATTTATTTTGTGGTACGCGGGCCTCTCACTGTTGTGGCCTCTCCCGTTGCGGAGCACAGGCTCCGGACGCGCAGGCTCAGCGGCCATGGCTCACGGGCCCAGCCGCTCCGCGGCACGTGGGATCTTCCCAGACCGGGGCACGAACCCACGTGCCCTGCGTCGGCAGGCGGACTCTCAACCGCTGCGTCACCAGGGAAGCCCCTGAGGCTCCTTTTTTAAAGCACAATTCTGGTCTCTAGTTGGTGTCATTTTGATACATGCACTTTTCTAAAAACCGAAACCAGAACTTCTGTTTCAGAACATTGGATGTTTTGAAGGCTATATTCTTGGCATTTAGAAAAGAGTAAACAGCCTCTCTTGGCTTCTGGACTGTAGCTAAAACCATAGGTATTTTGAAATTAGTTTCCAGGCAAAAGATAAATTACTCTGCACCAGAAAGTAAAAAATGACTTTTGATTGTCATACTTTAAAAATATATCAAAGGCTGACCAACAGTCACTTAAAAGATATTCATAAAATGTGGTTATTATAAATGAATGCAACCTGGACAAACAAGGTCTCTGCTAATGTGTCAAAGGATAATGTCTAGGAAGGGGTGAGAAAAGCCAGAAGTTTGGGATTTAGAGACAAGGAAAGCAAATAGGAAGATTGAAAAAGAAACCTAGGCAGAGGGAGACTGATCACACTTAAGACGTAAGGATCTTGGCCAAAAGTGCTGAAACGGGGCTCATTCAATTTCATGGCTTGAACTGTGTCCCCCAAAGCCCACAGGTTGAAGCCCGAACCCCCCGGACCTCAGAATGGGACTGTGTTTGGGAAAAGGGCCTTTAAAGAGCTACTTAAATTGAGGTCATGAGGGTGGGCCCTAATCCAGTGACTGGTGTCCTTATAAGAGGAGATGCGGACGCGCAGGGAAGGCCACGTGAAGACACAGGGAGAGACGGCCCCCTGCAAGCAGGAGCGACGCCTCGGAGCAAGCAGCCCCGAGGACACTTTGATCTCAGACGTCTGGTCCCCAGGGCTGAGAATACCTCCCTGCTGTCTCAGCCCCGTGGTCTGTGGTACCATACCACAGCCAGGCCGACCAGTACGTTCATCCAAACCCAGTGGAGCCCCAAGTTCACCCCACCACTCTCGACTACATCACATACGCTGCCCGAGTCCGCCTCCCCTGCGCCCCTGCAACCCCCAGAGCTGGGGTAACAGATGTAGCCCCTTGTTGCTGGTGTCAGCCTCCAGCCTCCCAGGAATCGGGACTCATCTGGCACCACCTCCTCCCCTGCAGGCTCAAGGTGGGTGTTTTGCCCAACGCAGCAGAATCGACGCCAGACACACACGTCACATTCACACAATACTTGCTTTTAGAAATAAAAGCCCCAGTCCTTTTGCGCTAAAACGTACCACTTGGAGCACGCGGACAAATGAGTATCATGACAAGTGCCTGAAAGGGAGTGACAGTGGCGGGTCCTGGCAGCCGGCACTGGCCGAGAGCCCAGACGCAGAGCGAGGCAGGCACGCAGGGGGAGGGCCCAGGAGCTGGGGGCGGCCAGGCCGGTGCCGTGGCCTCCCGGCTGGGGCAGCTCGGGGTCTACTGGGTCTTTCACACGAGCTGGGAGATCAAGTGGCACAAGTCTAATAGGATTTCCTTTGTCCCCGCGAACTGCACCTGGGCTGACAGTAAAAAGCAGGAACGTCTAGGTGGGCTTGTAACAGATGAAAGTCACAGGAGTGTTTTTCTCTTTTTACAGGACTCTGTTAAGGCAGATACGTGGACACTGAGATATCCGGCAGAGGCCCCCAGGCTGCGTGCAAGGGGGCATGGGCCTGAGGTTCCCCTCTGAAACCTGTTCCAGTGGCCAGGAACACACAACAGAGGCTCTGAAGGGGACCCCCAATGGCTACTGCAATCACAAGGCACCTCCCTGTTACCCCCGAGCCCCCCCAGGACACAGGGTCGTCTTGTGCGTGGGTTCCTACCTAAGATCCACCTTTCCGACAGGTACGTGACTGTCGCCGCCTTCCTTCTTGGGACGGGTCCGACGAAGATGCTGGCCTGGCGAGGGATGTGCGTGACCCGAACCCCACACAGCACGACCAGCTCCCCCAGCTTGGCTCTGGGCGGGCCGCTGGCGGGGGTAATGAACATGGTCGGCTGATCGGCAAACAGGGCTCCCCGGTACCGCCCGGCGGGCGAGAGGCGCTCCTGGCGGCAGAACTGTGGGCAAAGGCGGGGAGAGGGTTACTCCAAACCAATTCATTGTTCACAACAGGCCGACTGCAAGGCTCACGTCCTTTTTCAGAAAAAGCACAGACTGAAGGTGAGGTTGCACACACTCAGTGAATTCTGAGGATCCAGGGGAGATGATGCCATTTAATGACAATGACGGATAATAAGCAGTGACATTTTGTGGAGCAGCCTACAGGCAAAACTCCAAGCAAACAAATTTATAGGCAAAAAAAAAAAAAAAAATGTTTAGGCCTTTGAATTACTACAAATTCTAAACCAAATTCTTGAAAAGTAATCAACTGTTCAACTGAGGGCGGAGAACGGCCTCTGCATTCTGAGTAACCCAGAGGAATGTGGAGGCAGGAGCCTCGCGGGACACAAGTGCCCTCGGCACCGGGACAGCATCCTTCGTCCCGGGCTCAGGGCTCCCGGAGCAAGTGATGCCACAGCCCCGAACGGCTGTAAATCCAGCCTCATGGGGTCAAGGGGGTAAACGGCACAAAGCAGAAGGCCTGGCTGTGCCCTGCGAGGCCAGGTCGGGGAGGGGTGCGTCCTGATGGAGGGGGGAGGTGATGGGACGGGGTTCCGAGACAGGGGCCTTGAGCTGCCCGCGCTTCTGTGCTGATAAAGTCACGACGGCCGGCTGGCCAGAGGCACAGTGGGGAGGCCCCGCTGTGCTAAACGCTCATGTCACTAACGCCAGGTTCATAAAGACTTCTCTATGTGCAAATGCCCTCTGGGACATGTTGACGGTTATCTGCCATCCACATCTGAGTGCTTTAACCCGCATGTTTCCCTGAGGACAGAACTGAACATCTGAGATGAGCGGCTCAGAGAAATTAAGGATTTTGACGGGAGGTCTGTGGGAAAAGAGATGAAGGGGTGCCTCTCAGAGGAGGGGCCCGGGTGGGCGGGTGAGGGAGTGCCCGTTACCCAGAGGACAGTGGGCGGCTAGTACGGGAGAGGGGCTGACCCCGGGTGGGCAGGCAGCGGAGGTGTTCCTCAGTCCTCCACTCCGACAAAGTCCGAGAAAGAAAAAATTGTCCCCCCTACTAGGTTTTCATGCTCCTTTCCTTTTGAAGAAGACGATCCTACCGTAACGGTGACAGCAGCAACAACAACCCCCGCCCCCTAAGACCCCACTGCAACGTCAGCGGGACTGATTTGATAAACAAGGCCGTGGGTTCACTCTCTTTTCTCACCCCAGCCTTGAATTTTGCCATAAGCTCTGATACGTTTCGCAGCTTCCCTTCGACTTGGGTACCTAACAGGACAAATGACCATTCTCCCCGTGGGGTACCTTCGTTCACGCTGTCAGTGACTCCCAACATCCCTGAGACGCAGGGAGTGGAAAGGGTCATTCCTTTAATTTTTGCAGATGAAGACACTGAGGCAGAAGAGATTTGCTTTGGTTCAACGTGACTCGAGCTGCAAGGAAAAACCCACCATCCGTAAACTCAGTGAATCACTGGGCCACCCTGCCCTGAAGCTGGGGATCAAGAATCTTCCTAAAGTTGGATGTAGTCACACGTCCTAAAAAGTAGTTGCAGAGGTTGATAACTGAAACAATACCGAAAGGAATACAGTAAGCTGAGTGTCCCTGGGCTTTCTGTTACTCAAATCCACTCCTGTCTTTTCCTCCTTAACGGCAAGGCATGGTGGTTTTGTGGGTGCTGACCTCTGCAGGGCCATGTGTTCAAGATAGGGGTCCCTTCCCAGCCCAAGGGGAAGACTCATGCTGGGTCCAAGCCAACCACAGGGATCCCCTTTCCCTTTCGAAGGACAGGGTCAAGCGTGGGCTGGACCCGATCCCGGCCAATGGGACCTGAGAGTGAGCCTGCTGGGGGCAGTTTTTCCTCACCTACTAACGTAAGCAACTTTGTCCTGTCGACAAAGGACACCCAGAGTTCCTGAAGCCACCTGAGGACCCCGGACACCCTGAGAACAACCAAGTGGGAAGAGGGGATAGGCCTGGATCCTAGGTAACAGATGCTTCTAAGTCACTGGCCTGACCAAACCGGGAATTGTCCTCCTCTTGTCCTTTTAATGTCAGGAAAAAAAAAAAAAAACAAACCTTCATTTTTAAGCTACTCTTTGTTGAGGTTTTGTTTGCAGAAGCCCAAGCAACCGAATGCTGTAGTTCTCATGACCCTGCCCCTTACCAGAGGTGGGAGTTTGCTGTATATTTTTCTAAATTCTGTACAACACACACATACTCAGGATACAGTTTTTCTTAATCAAGGATGTATCCTGGTACACAGAAGAGCAGTACCTCAAACCTGTTTTTAATCCAGCAGAAAGGACGTAAGTGAGCCTTTCTCACGTTTGGAACGAGACTTTGGAAGCTAATTTGGTGCCTACTTCTCCCGCCCACATTTATTGAACACTTACTCTCTCGCAGGCACGTGCAAAGTGCCAGGAAGCAAAGCTGATCGAGATGCAGTTCCTGACCTCAGTTTAAAGCACGTACTGCAAAAGTCAATAAATGAAAATGCTTCCCCTTTATTTATTTATTCAGCTTGAAATCAGAGGAAGTAAAGAATTACAGGGATCTGATTCTTCACTCAAAATAATTGAGACTAGGTGCATGCTGACTTTCCGATCCTAAGTAAAATAATTTCTGGGGAAGTTTAATCAAGATTTAGTTTACTTAAAATTAAATTTAGGAATTTATCCTCCAAATACACTCCCCGATGTATATAAGGACATGTGTGTAGAGTAGTTCATTGCCATAGAAACAGAGATGATGGGCAGGTTTTTTATAAATATAATAGGACACCTGATTCTTTTTATTGCTGAGCTTTAGTTAAAACCTTCCGCTTACTGAAACGAGTTTAAGTATGGGATACTCCCCCAATACTTCCTTTATTATCCTCAGTCCCCGTGCTTTCGCTTCCTGGGTCCTCGTGATTGATGGGCCTCAGGTGTACCAGTGCAGCCTTACCCTGGAGCCCAGGCTCTGCTCTGAAGGCACAGATCATAAAATTGCTTTGCTACTGCCCTTGACATTGCCCTAAGCGTTCTGACTGAGGCAGTCAACTCTCCTGTCTAGCAAAGCATCATTCTGTCCCCACGGGTACGTTGTAAAAAATGAGAATCGTGAGGCTGCAAGCAGTACAGGTTAAGAGAGTGGCCGAGAGAGCTCTACGTGCCCTGTGACATGTGCCTCCATCCAGCTTCGCCCCGACAGGCCTGCTTTCACTTCAAGCCTTTTGGTACAACAGTTCATGGCCATTTGCTCTAAATCCTAATTTCATTTCAAACTTTTCGACACACATACACCTGCCACCAACTGCCAGAAAAAGGAGTCTGGGCGGGGCATGTGGGCGTTATTACAGGGTGGTGGATGGTGGTGTGTTATTGTTTCCCTCTAAGGTGACCTCAGAGATAACCACGTTTATCTATGTTGACTTAGAAGGTTCTGGCTAAAAATGATTAAAAGACAAGTTAAAAAAAATCATAACTCATATCAGTGTAAAATGAATATTTAAGATGTGTTCATTTTATGTAACTGACAGACGCTATACTTGTTCAAAGGAGAAACAGATAACACATTTATAGATTAGAAATACTGAAAGGAAGTTGCAAATGGACCAAAATACTGGCTTTTCCGTGGGGTAGGGGGATATTCCCTTCACCAGACAGATTTCACTTCTAGCCCACAGACAAGAATCGTGTGCATTGCCAGTAGGACTTTACGGCCTAGGGTTGTGAAACAGCTCAAAGGCAATGAAAGCTGGACTCAGATAACCTGGGGGTGGTGTGGGGCGCACGGGTTAAGAAGTATAGCTTCCCAGTGAGGCACAGCTTTTTCCCCACAGAGCCCAGGATGCTTGTTTACCAAAGGATATCCTGGAAGAAAAGAGGATTAAGTGGAATTTACTGACAGCTCTGGACTAAAGGAGCCTCCAAAATAACAGGACAGGTCAGTAGTCTGGGTGAATTTGGGGTGGAGTTCCCACTTTTCTCCGTGAATGGTGGCATAAGATGATCATTACGCAGATGTGTGTGTGGATGCATGTGTACATACGTGACAAGGAGGCAGCCGGTAGGAGGCAGAAATCTCTCTCTGTCATGAGATCTTCGTTTGAACCCTCAGCTGTGGAGGATCAGTACTACTAAAGGGTCTCAGCTAAGGCCAAAGAGCCACTGGCTCTGCTTTATAAAATGTGGCCTTTGCATTTGTGCCTTCCTTAAAAAAGCTATACTGGGGCTTCCCTGGTGGCGCAGTGGTTGGGAGTCTGCCTGCCGATGCAGGGGACGCAGGTTCGGGCCCCGGTGCGGGAAGATCCCACATGCCGCGGACCGGCTGGGCCCGTGAGCCATGGCCGCTGAGCCTGCGCGTCCGGAGTCTGTGCTCCGCAACGGGAGAGGCCACGGCGGTAAGAGGCCCGCGGACCGCAAAAAAAAAAAAAAAAAAAAACTATACTGACTTAATAGGTTAGCTCAGAACCTTCCAGCCCCTTCATGTAGAAGTCAGTCAAGGGGGACCACACTGTTTACAGAGCAAAGCTGAGGGGAACCGCCCCCTGCCAGCCCTGTGCTTCTAGCTTCAGTGACCCCCAGGTATTCATCCCCGACCCAGACGTTTCCCCACCCTGAACCCCAAACAGGGGAGGGTGTTGACGGTTCATTTACTCCGGACGTGGGTGTTAGGGTTCACTAGCGATTCTGCTTTTCCCTCTGGGTAGAGCGCACCGTGAGTGTTAGTTTCCGCAGGTAGTTTTGAGCCATATGGGGAAAAGGAGGTACACATCCTTCACTGTGGAATTCTCATGGCAAACTATTTCCCGTGTTTGGGACCCGCAGCTCAGGGAGGTTGGCTTTTTCTGTTTTGCCTGAGATCACACACCACAGAATTGAGGGGTCAGGTCCCAAAGCCCTGGCCCTTCCCAGAACTTCACATGATCTCTGCTCCTTGTGGCAACAGAGGGACAGGAATACCCATCTGTGAAATGATGCCACACCTCTTCAGAGCTAAGACGTAC